CTACCAACAACTTTTAAGGGTTTCTAAGCTTGAACCAGGAAGACCATTCTACTCTTACTTACTGGTTCAACCAGATCTCTCCAGCTCCTCACCATCCAGCTTCCTCAGAAACCTCCTCGCCCTACAGGACCTCTGAGCAAGCTACTCCTCACCTAGTCACTCCTAAGCACTGCACTGTACAACAATCTATATATACAGAAAGCGCATTGTGAGTTTCTATTCTACCTCATTCCTGAGTGTGAGATATCTACATGTACGTACGTTTGTGTGCCCATACAAAGAGAAAATAGACAACTAAAGAGAATTGACAACTGGCCACATACAGTACGCTACAATTGGTGACCCCTGGAGCCGTGAATACCACACTCCTTTCTGCTGCTGCTGCCTCACTATCGGAGCTGTGAACACCACACACTCCTCTGCTGCTGCTTACTACCAGAGCTGGCGAGGATCGCTGCCTGCTGCCAGTCCCCACTGGCGGTATGAGTGACCCACATCACAGCTGGAGAGCAACTATTGTGCGATATTCCAAACGTGGTTTGAGCTCTTTTGCCTATTCTCCTATTTTTCTTTTGTTTTTTTAGTTCTGGCCTAAGGACCTGCACCCTAAAAAGTGTATTCGTCCCGAAGTCCCCCCTGCAACTGTTCACCTCTCTCCCAGGAGATTGTGAACACGGAAGGGGGTTGGAACAAGCTCCCATCCCTCATCCTTCCCTAACAGATTTGACGCACTCCCACAAGAATGGACGGACGGATCTCTCTACCACCCTTCAACCACAACGTCGAGGACTGGTTAGTTCATGTGGAAGCAGCCCTCGTCGGCTCACAAGTGACTGACGAGCAAAAGTAGGCGCCCTGCTCTGTGCCTTGCCCACGGAAGTCGCCACGCAGGTCTCACGGACCATTGCCAACCCTCCAGTTATCAACAAATTCGCTACCCTGCGGGATGCCTTGAAGACGCGTTATCAACAGACCAGCCCCAATCTCCTGCAAGACCTATCCTCTATCTCCCTCGGAAACTCAACCCCGGGACGTCTCTGGGAGGAGATGTGTAGGCTGAACTCCCGTCACACAGACAGACTCCCCGACTCTATCCTGCGCCAACTTCACGCACAGAAGCTCCCCACAATGGTGCGCATCACCCTGTCTGCAGTAGATTACTCTGCGACACCAGAACTCTACGCACCCTCGGCAGACAGGATATTCAGCGATTGCGCTGCTGCAGGTCTCGCCACTGCAAACAACCCAACGACCACACCAGTACTTACCCCGGAACTTGTAAGCCGGGTCATCAACCCTCAGTCGAGCAATACCTCACAAGACATAAAGGATCTGTTGCAGACTTTGAACCGCAGGATGGACACCATTGAACAGTTCTGTTTCTCCAGGCCTGCTGCTGGGCCTGCTCCTGGCTCACGCACTGTGCCCTACAATCCCACGCCTGCTACCGGGCCTGTTCCTGGCTCACGCACCGCGCCCTACAATCCCCGACGCGCATTTCCTGCCCCGGAATCCGCCGCCAGTCCCCAGTACAACGGATCTACCCTATGCTGATATCACAGACGTTTCAGCGCCAATGCTCAACACTGTGAGCCCCACTGCACCTACCCGGGAAACGGCAACAACGGGGATTGGTAGACGCCTCAGCCCCCGTTCCGTTAGGCGTCGCACTACTGCACATCACCGACCGCACCTCCGGCACGAAATTCCTCATCGACACAGGTTCATCGGTCAGCATTATCCCTCCCTCAATATAAGACACGTCAAAGCAACCCTCTTATGACCTGTTCGCTGCCAATGGTGCCCCCATCGCCTTAGACCTCGGTATGCCCAAGACTATGCGTTGGTTATTCGTGGTCGCAGACGTGCCTCAACCCATTCTTGGCTTCGACTTCCTCACCTTCCACAAGCTTGGCGTCGACCCAAACCATCTATGCCTCATCCATGAGCCTACAGCACGCAAGATCCAGGGTTCTCGTGCCAAACACACCGACACTATCACCTGTCTTGCGCCTTCCAACGAGTTCTCCTCCCTGCTCGACGAATTCAAAGCGCTTTTCTCACCTCGAGTCTCTCTACCCCCACCACCTACGTCGGGAATTTTCCACCACATCGAAACCAAAGGACCACCAGTCTTTTCACGCCCTCGCCACCTGCGCCCTGAGCTCCTGAACACAGCCAAAACAGAATTCAATAAACAACTGCAAGACGGCATCATTCGTCCTTCAAAGAGTCCCTGGGCATCGCCTCTTCACATGGTTCCTAAGCAAACACCCGGCGAGTGGAGGGTGTGTGGCGACTACAGAGCCCTGAATCTCGACACCAAACCTGACAGGTACCCTATTCCGCATGTCCAGGACTTCCACCACAAACTTCATGGCAAGACTATCTTCTCGAAGATCGACTTGGAGCGTGCCTTCCACCAGATCCCAGTAGCACCTGCAGATACCCAGAAGACAGCCATCACCACTCCGTTTGGACTCTTCGAGTACACTTTCATGAGTTTTGGCCTACGCAATGCAGCACAGACTTTCCAGAGGTACATGGACCATATGCTTCGCGACCTCGATTTTGTCACCGTCTACATTGACGACATCCTCGTCGCATCTTCGACGCCTGCTGAGCACCACCACCACCTACAACTCCTTCTCCAACGCCTGCAGAACAACAACATGAAAGTTCATCCTGCTAAGTGCGTCTTTGGAACCTCGGCCATCGATTTCCTCGGTCACAGAGTCTCGCCCAGTGGCATACAACCCCTACCACAGAAGATAACTGCGATTAGGGATTTCCCCTAACCTGAAACGGCGAAGAAACTCCGAGAATTCCTGGGTTTAGTCAACTACTACCACCGCTTTATTGCCAACGCTGCCACAGTCCTAGTCCCCCTCTACGACCTTCTCAAGGGACTCCCAAAGACGTCTCATAAGCCTCTCGTGTGGACTCAAGAGGCTGCCACGGCATTCACCACTATCAAACAGCACATTACACGCCTCACCCTCCTGGCCCACCCCGCACCTAACGCCCGGACCACTCTCACAACAGACGCTTCTTCTACTGCAGTGGGCGCCGTCTTACAGCAGGAGATCAACGGAATTCTCATGCCCGTTGCTTTCTTCTCACAACGGCTTCAACCACCACACCTCAAGTACAGCGCCTTTGATCGAGAACTCCTGGCCATATACCTGGCTGTCAAACATTTCCAGCACTTCCTCGAGGCCCGTCAGTTCACCATCTTCACTGATCACAAGCCCCTCGCCCACGCCTTCGCTTCAGCTTCCCAGTCACATACACCTCGTGTCCTGCGCCACTTGGCTTACATCTCGGAGTTCTCCAGCGACGTCCAACACATTAAAGGCAGCCACAACGAGATCGCCGACGCCCTCTTTCGTTGTATATCCAACATTCTTCCCTCATCTCCATCCATTGATTATGGGCAACTTGCCGCGGCTCAAGAGAATGACGAAGACCTGGCAGCATACAAGACATCTCCGTCAGGCCTCACACTCCAAGAACTCCCAATCCCCGGCACGAATATCAAATTGTGGTGCGACGTATCCTGTGGGCAGCCTAGACCGTTCTTGCCTCACGTCCACTGCTGCGCTGTTTTCGACCGCATCCATGGTCTCAGCCACCCGGGTGTGCGGGCCTCCCAGCTCCTCCTCACGCAACGTGTCGTCTGGCCCGGCATCAAGACCGATAATTAAGAAATGGGCTGCCCAGTGCCTGGCCTGTCAGTCCTCCAAAATACATCGTCACACACGGGCCCCTTTAGAAACCTTCCCTATACCCAAAGGACGTTTCCAAGTAGTGCACCTTGACATAGTGGGACCTCTTCCATCATCCTGTGGTAGCACCTACATCTTCACCTGCATCGACCGTTTCACCAGGTGGACAGAAGCCATCCCCATGCCCAATGCTACAGCAGAGTCTACCATCCGCGCCTTCATGTCCGGCTGGGTTCCCGCTTCGGCCCCCCCGCTACTGTCATCACTGACCGAGGAGCCCAGTTTGAGTCACAACTCTGGCACAGCCTCCTACAGTTCCTCGGCACGACTAGGCAACGCACCACAGCATACCACCCTCAAGCCAACGGCATGGTAGAGCGGTTTCACCAGCAGCTGAAGGACGCACTCAAAGCACAGCACAACCCTTACAGCTGGACGGATGCGCTACCCTTAGTACTCCTCGGCATCCGTGTTTCATACAAGGAGGATATGGACTGTAGCCCAGCAGATCTCACCCGAGGCGAGCCCCTTCGCCTACCCGGAGATTTTTCACTCCCTCCTGACCTCCGCCAACCCACTCCTGCCGTTCGTCACGACTTACTCCAAAAACTGTGACAAGCAGTTTCTGCATTCAGAGCCACAGCTCCACGCCAGCCTCCTCGGCGTCCTGAACACATCCCTCCTGCACTACTCACTGCCGAGTATGTTTTCGTCAGGCATGATGCTCACCACAACCCACTACAACGCCCCTACGATGGACCCTTCCAGGTTGTTTCCCGTTCAGCGAAGTTCCTGACGATTATCCGGAATGGCAGACACGACAACGTCAGCATAGACCGAGTCAAACCGGCCACCTTACCCGTTGGGTCCCCAGCCCAGCAGCAATCCCCACAAACTACACCAGCGCCAGTCTACCCGCCGTTACCACCTGCGCGAACTACACCTGCACCAGTCTACCCGCAGTTACCACCTGCAGCAGTACCCCGCCCACGACATTTCTGGGCACCCTATTTCCATCCTCAGGTACCTGCTGCTCCTGTCGTGGACCCTCCTCCTGATGTGGACCCTCCTCCTGACGTGGACCCTGCTGCCGTCCTGGACCCTGTTGCTGTCATGGACCATCCTCCTGACCCAGCCAGACCCCGCCCACGACATTCCTTGGCATCCTATTTCCACCCTCAGGTACCTACTGCTCCTGTAGTGGACCCTCCTCCTGACGTGGACCCTGCTGTCGGCGTGGACCCTGTTGCTGTTATGTACCCTTCTCCTGACATGGACCCTGCTGCCGTCATCGACCCTGTTGCTGTCATGGACCCTCCTCCTGACGTGGCCCCGACTCCTGACCCAGCCAGACCCTGCCCACAACATTTCTGGGCGCCCCTTTTCCACCCTCAGGTACCCACTGCTCCTGTCCTGCACCCTGCTGTTGTCGTGGACCCTGTTGCTGCCATGGCCCCTACCCGTGACCCAATCTGCCCAGCCAGTGACGTTGCCCCTGAGGTGACAGGAGCACAACAACCATTGCCTGTACAACCTCCTCTAATCCAAAATCCTCCTCCCCCTGATTCTCCCACAGGTTTTGTGTCACTAGACGGAGTCGTCACCCATAGTGGTCGAGTGGTACGTACACCTGCCCGTTATGTGTCACTTGTGGGACACAACCCTGTCAACCTCCAGCCTCCCGCCGTGCCCGGAGGGGAAGGGGAGTATTGTAGTGGACTCCATCCCCTACAAAGGACGACTGAGCTCCCCCGCGCCTACCAGCCAATCAGCGTACAGCCAGCGGTGCCAGTAGACCTACTCTCCAGTGCGGACGCACACGTAGCAACGCTAGGACCAGAGTGCCGGGTGTGCCTGGCCTCTTCCTCTGTGATTGGCCCTCTCGCTATGCTCACCCCAAATCCTGATCCTCGTAAATTGTATAAATACGGCCATGGCTGGCCAAGAGACACCCCCCACACAACAAAGGTACATCTTAAACCACATAAACAACATCACCACACACATGCAAACACTTCACGACAGAACAACTCCTGACAACACAATAGATACCTCCACTCTCACACAGGACCACACCCTCACTGCTCCTTTCACCCCAACAGAAGTCAAACAAGCACTGGAAAAAACCAAAAAGAAAACACCGGGTGACAGCAATATTGGTCAAGCAATCCTGAAGCACCTGCCCTCAGAAACAGTCACAGCCATTACATACCTCTACAACACCCAACTGGCTACAGGTTACTTCCCAAAACTCTTTAAGACAGCCACAGCCGTCATGATACCTAAACCAAACAAAAACCCAACAGATCCTCAAAACTACAGACCGATCAGTATACTAGAAGTCTTAGGAAAAACTTTTGAAAGACTATACAACACCCGCCTCAGATACCACCTTGAAGATGAACAACTACTGTCCTACAAGCAGTTCGGCTTCAGAGCACACCACTCAACTCAAGACGCACTCAATATAATCACAAACTACCTCCACATGAACAAAGATGCATACAAGATAGCACTCATTACAAAAGACGTACAAAAAGCCTTCGACACAGTTTGGCACGATGGATTAAAGTACAAGATATGCACCAATTTTAACCTCCTCAAAAATCACAACAATTACTATGTAACTTCCTAACAGACAGAAAAATGAGGATAAAAGTCACACCTGCCTACTCTGACCACTTCACACTGCATGCAGGAGTCCCACAAGGATCAGTCCTGTCCCCAACACTATACATTCTTTACACAAACGACTTACCCGACCCCTTACACATCGACTCTCTGACAATACAGTACGCCGACGATGTAACCCAACTAGTCAGACACAGAACTCTTGATCACCTAACAGACAAAGCACACAGGGAACTCGAACAAGTTACACAATGGGAACTCCAATGGCGAATACAAACCAGCCCGAACAAAGCACAAATCACCTACTTCGGCACCAAAAGACGACAACCACGTCACATTTACCTAAACCCCTACATCGCCTACCCTTCACAAAAAAATAAACAAATAAAAAAGGGTACGGCGGAAACTTATTGAAGTGCATAATGCGATAATAAACAATCATTTCTCTGCTCTTTCAGGAATTTCATTATTATTTATTACTGAATATCTTTTATTGAATTAATGTTTTATGTGTGCAAAATAAGAGCAATACAATTCATTAATAATACGTGAAAAATTAAAACACATGGGAAATGACACAACATTGTTTTCGTTGATTACAAAACCAAGTGACTGACCCGATTTCTACATATAAAACTGAAGAAAATAAGACCTTGGTTGTAGCTGTGTAAATTAATATGGTTGTTTTTAAGAAATAATGTTGTTAATGTTAATAAATGGAACAATAGAAGTAGCTAACTGATAATGGTAAGACAAGAGAATCATATGTAAGTGTGCATGCGCACACGTGAAAACATATCGTCATTACTTTACATAAGAATATGAAAGCAACACTTATTTACTGTTCATATATATTTTAATTAATGTTTCTGAATTTGTTTTTATTGAATTAATGTACGTGTGTGCAAAATTAACAATACAATTTATTAATAATACGTGGAATATTAGAGGAGACGAGACCGCTGCCGGCATTGTTTATGTTAAAGCTTACGAAACCAGTGACTGATTGGTTCTACATACAAAACTGAAGAAAATAAGACCCTGAGTTTAGCTGTAGTAAAATTAATGTAAAAAATGAATATGGTTGCTTGAAGTACCTGTAATGTTATTTAATGTTAATAAATGGAACAATATAAGTAGCTAACCATTAATGGTAAAAAAAAAAAAGTGAGACTGCTCATATGTAAG